CCCCCCCCTCATTACATTACAATTTATTTCCAACAATGCAAGGCACATGTCCTTGTTCTCCTGGCCAACCCAGCCCAGAGAACCGAGCAGACGGAGGACAGAAGGAAATGTGCAGAGCACTGCATTTTGCCCAAGGCCTGAATTTCTGAACCTCAGCACAAGTGTTAGCACCTCTAATTTTGGCTTCAAAGCAACAAATTAAAGCAAAAAGTAATTCAGGGTCCACTTTGTATGTAAAAGTACCTTATGCCCTATAAAGGACCTCTAAGAAAAGGCAGTTCTATCTTCAGCCAGGTTGGTCTTCTCGCTGCCCTGTCCCTCTACCCGACTCAACTTGTCCATTTCTTGCTCTGTGCTACCCCCCTGCCCCGACCCCCATCTCCACCTCCACAGGCACTCACCCATCCTCCTCCTGCCCTCTTCAGTCTCCTTTGTACATGTGGAAGAACAGTATGAAAAGATTAGGAGTGGTTGCAAACAGTTGCATGCTGGAGTTAGAGACTGAGCTTCAGATCCTGTTTTTACCACATACTAGGAGTCTGACTCTGGACAAGTTCTTCAACCTATCTGACACCTCCTTTTTTTCCATATGAAAACATAGTATCTACTTTTTGGTGTTGTCGCTGGGATTAAGTGAGAAGACCTGCTCACACAGTGTCTGTTGCAGAGTTCATGCTTAATAACTGTCGACTGCTCTAGTACTGCTGGGTGTTACTGTTATCATTGCTTACAAATCTTCCCGTCATTCAGGACTGGAACTACTCTTGACTGTTGATTTCTCTGAACTTTTATAATATTGACCCGCTTTGTCCCCTAGTGAGTACTAGCCTAGGTCATTTTGTATTAGCTGTTTTGTGGGAGTTTTATAGACTAGATAAAACTAGTTAGGGACAGAGACTCCCCACTTTTTTCTTTCTTTTTTTTTCAAGATTCCCTAAGGAACCAGCACTCTGAAGACTCAGAAATCAACTTGAATTGAGGAACAGTCTGTATTTTAAAGAACTAGAAGTCTTTCTTATTTTATTTTTAATGATAATAAGACCTTTTGGTGACCTTTTTATCCTGTTTCCATTAGATCTGTCTGTTTGGGCTTCAAACCTCCCAGTTTATCACTTTAGCAATTCTGATCTCATGTGGAATTAAATGGAGAAGTTATGCACAGATACACACACATATGATATTCAAACATGATAAACTACTACTCATTTTTTTAAAAATTCTATAGCTGATTTTTTACATGAAGATCTTAGTTTGTTTTCTTGGTTCTTCCTGGGCCGCTAACTCAGAAGAATGTGACCACACAAATCTCCAGTACCCAAGAGCAGTCCTGAAGTCTGGACTAATTTTTCGGATCCATTTCTTTCTCTTTTTTTCTCCCTTTTCCCAAGTTTTCTTTTAATTGCCTAATCTAATTAGCCCCTGAACTTTGCTCTATATGGGTCCAAAGAGAGAGGATTTAGACCAAAAGTTTAGCCTCCATTTGCTTATTTACAACTCTGCATTTTTATTTGAAAATAACACTTTTATGTGATGAGCCACAATTCTGGATGTGTACTAGGCTCCTCTAGGCTGGACATTAATCTGAGGCTTTCCAGAATGCCCATGGGATGCCCTGAGTGCCAGGCCTTAGGGAGAATAAAAACGTAGGGAAGATGGTCTAACACAAGTTGATTAGAGACATCAGATAGTATATAGCAACCTTCTGGGCAGAGGTTCTCAATTCTGTGACACTGACTGGAAAAAAATAAAGCAGGTGTTCAGATAAGGTCAGTGCGGGCTGGAATTCGAGGTGGTGGTGGGACTTGAACAAAGCCCTTCAGAAAATGTAGAACATTCGTACACACAGAGGCACTGCGTAAGTGAAGGTACCAAGACAGGAGGGTATTCTACAAAGGCATGTGCTGGCTTAACTGACATCTGTGCCATCTCATCTTGCACCACCTGCTGCTGGGCCCTTGGTTCGTGCTCACCAAGGGTGCTGGACTGAAATGGCCACAAGGAACGTAAGCATGTGTCTCTACCTCCCCTCTACCCCAGGCTCCTAGAACATTGCCGGAAACATAAATACCTGTCCAGCTCCGGGGAAGTGTTCGCCCTGCTGGTGAGCAGCCTCTTGGAGAATCTGCTGGACTACAGAACCATCGTCATGCATGACGAGAGCAAGGAGAACCGCATGAGCTGCACCGTGAACGTGCTGGTATGTGCCGGCCCCTGCGAGGGCGGGAGGGCATGGCCAGGCCACCCCTGCACCCCACAGCTCAGCTCTAGGGAGATCTCACCGACACGAGGATGCCTGGGTCACCTTTATGCAGTCTGTGTCCTGTTCAGTCTAATTGGACCAGCTGACTCAGCTTTGACTCCAGCAGCCTCAGATCTTGAGAATAAATTTGGAAACGGGGATGGAAAATCCAACATAAGCTCTCGATTCAGCTCTTTTCCTGAAGGCCACTCTCCACCTGTTTCTGTCTTATGTGATTGCTTCGTTGTTGGAATTAGAGGACATAGATGAGTATCCTTCAGAAGCACTGTACCATGAGTAGGGGGTTAGTATGTGACATCCTCACGGGGATCAGACTCTTTGGTCCTGCCTTTCCCAAGACGTGTTAACTGGGGACACACACCTCAGAGGCTTAGGGTGCCGTCCACACCTCTGCCTCATATAAACTAAGAACCCACAGCCTGTCTGCTTCCTGAGAAAACGGTGTACCCAGTGACTTGAGTACATGAGCTAGGTATCTGTTCCCTTAGAAGCATGGTCCTTAAAAAAATTCTTCAACTTAACTTTTTAAAATAATCTATCGCTTCCTTTTCTTATGGGGGTATTTGTTAAAGGGAAACGGTAAACTCTCTGGAAAAGTGACACTGTTGAAAAGCAACTATAGTGGTTTGGCCATTTTTGTGGCCAGCTCGTCGATAGCCCTGGATTTACACTGATATTTTATGATCTCTTTTTTGGCAGAATTTTTATAAAGAAAAGAAAAGAGAGGACATATACATAAGGTAAGATGAAGGAAATGTCCTGTTTTTGCTAGTTATGTCACAGCTTTGTGACTTATTCCTTGAACAACTACTGTGCCCGACACCATGCTCGCTGCTTTGAGAGTCACCTACAGGTACATGAGATGCCCCATCTGCCCCACAAGGAGGGACTCTTTAGACAGATGCACCAGTAAGGGCAATAGGAGGAGGTGCCTACGTAGGGTCATGTTGGGGTTCAGGGAGGGCCAGGAGACTTCTGGCCAGGGTAGTCAGGAGAGGCTGCCCAGGGGCAGGATGTGACCACCTACCAAGGAGTCTTAGTCTGGGGTCCGTGAATCCCTAAACATGAAACTGACTTGTACGTAAACTATAGGCATGTTGTTGGGAAGAGATGCCATAGTTTTCATTATCTTCCCAAAGGGTCCGAGACTTTAAAAAAAATAATAATTAAGCACCACTGCCTTAAAGGAAGAGTGGAAAGTAGAAGAGATGCAGTAGAGAAGTCAGAGGCCAGAAGCAGCACTGGATTAAACAAACAGGAAGTAAGCTACTCCTTTGCCCAAGAGAAAAGAAGTTTCCTGCACAGCGGTGGGTGGGGATAGGCCAGGAAGCAGGCTGGGTTCTGGTTGTGGAACGAGCTGAATTCTAGATCAACTCCCGAGCCACAGAATGCCTCCTTTCTCTGCTTCTTACCAGATATTTGTACAAGCTCCGAGATTTGCACCGAGACTGTGAGAACTACACAGAAGCTGCCTACACACTTCTCTTACACGCTGAGCTTCTGCAGGTGAATGGATCGGGGGCACGTGCTTCAACAGGGTGGGAGGCAGTGTGCAGAATGTCACCTGTTCTGTCCTTTGGGACTAAATTCTATACGCTGCATGATTTTGACCAGAAAAAAAAACCTTATTCAAGGGATATCCATCTATCCTACGATATTTCTATACCTTTTAAATAGGAACAGCTAATTGTCAGATCAAGGTTGGGAAAATGTCGTTTATTTATCATTTATTTAAAAATCCTTAGGAAGCAGAACACAACTTAACAGGTTTCCGGTAATTGACACTCTAATGAAAGATATAAAACACACATTGATTAATATATAAAAAGATTTGTCAAACTGCAGAGAGATGAGTTGTAAACGAATATAGTACCATAAAAGTACTTTTCTATTTATACTCTCTCCCTAAATAAAATTACAGCGTGGCACAGATATAAACACATCTATATGTCTTGAATCCCGAATGATTATTTCTAGCCCTGACCACCTCCTCTCCCTTTGGATTCATGTATAAACTGTTCTTTTGACATCAGTTTTTGAATGACTAATAGACAGCTCAAGCTTAATGTGTCTGTAATGGAAACCTTTACCGCCCACTCTTCTCCCCCTTCCTAACCCATCCCACCACCCCTTTCTTATCGTTTTCCTAAGTGCCATCACCGTCTGTATAATTGCTCAGACACTTTCCTTGTAGTCTTTGATTCCTGTCTTTTATTCACCACCTCCCACGTTCTCAATGAGCAGTAATCATGGACACTGTGTCCAGAACGTACCCTTAGCCTGCCCACTTTTCTTTATCTGTCTTGATGCCGTCTGGCCCCAGCTACCAGCACCTGTCACCTTGAGCACTACAGTAGCCTCCTATTCGATCCTTCTGCGTGTGTGCTTGTCCCCAGCAATTAATTTCTTTTTATAATATAATTTTTATTTTGTACTAAACAATTCATATACATTGTTCCACACTGCTAAATAAAAACAGGAATCCCTGCCTCTCCACCTCCCAGAGGGAATCCACAATTCATATTCAAGATGGGGGCCCTAAAAAGCTTATTGTATGTGGGTTAGATGGTAAGGCTTGTTGGCTGTGGATTTCACCACAGAATGACCCAAAATGTCTGTAACCATAGGTCTTTTCATTTGGGCTGCTCAGAAACTTAAACTCTCTTCCCCTGCTGTAGGGAATTAGGTGCAGATGCAGCTTCTTTCCCAGACATCTACTCACTAGAGATGCCATGTATTAAGCATAGTCTGTGTTTTCCTCAGTGGGAGAGGCGATTCCATCTTTATCATGGACTAAATCCCTTTGTTGGGGGTTGTGGGGAACGGTCTCTTTCTAAGTCTTACATACTTCTGCATGGGTTTCTGTACATGTACTAGAACCACACTGTTTTAATTATTAATTCTCTATAATATGTTTTATTATCTGGTAGTTACTCTTTATTACTCTTCTTTTTCAGAGTTTCCCCACCTATTCCTTTTTGTTTATTTTTCCATGTGGATTTTGGAATCATGAAATTTAAAAATTAATTTAGTGAGAATTTACATGTTTATGAAGTAGAGTTTTCTTATCCAAAAGCATGGTATGACTTTCCATTTGTTCAAGTCTGCTTCTGTGCCCCTCAGTGGTGTGTCCAAGTGTTCTGCATTTATGTCTCACATATTTCTTGTGATGTTCACTCTTCAATATCTTTTTGGGTTTATTTTTGTTTGGGTCTTTTCTTCAACTGTCTCCTGTATGATTATTATCTATGTATCTGAAATTTATTTCCAAATAAACAAAGTCTTAATCTTGCTACTTAATTTCTTTATTATGTGTAGCTTTTTTTTTTTGGTTGACTGCTTTGTGTTGTGAAGAATACAACCATAATGTTTGCAGATAATGATAATTTTACCTCCTCCTACCCATCTTTATACTTTTAACATTTCTTTTATTGGATTGTGTTAATGATGTACAACAGCAGTCATGTTGGTTAGCAACCTCCGTTTGTTCCTGACTTTCGTGGGAATGCTGCAAGTGTTTCTCCATTTGGCATGACACTTGTTTTGGAGCTGACATGTATATATGTGTGTATATGTAATTTTTGTGTTTAATTAAATAATCTGAAATATAATATTGATGAACTCAATATATATACAAATATTTTTCCTGTTTTTTTTTTTTTTTTTTTTTTT